TGATTCCCATTTTTTCAATTTTTTCCAAGAGCAAGTCTATGTCGACTGTATCAAACGCCTTCTGCAGATCTATAAATATTATTATTATACGATTCTTGAGGACAAGCTGTTCTGTTACATATTCGATAAGGTCAGCTGTTGCGCCTAGGGTGTTGCTTTTCTGTTGAAAACCATATTGATAATCATCAAATTTGAATGTGTTTTCGATATGTTTCACAAGTCTTTTTTTAACGATTTTTTCTACTATTTTTGAGAAAGTGTTTAATACAGAGATTGGTCTATAATCACCAAGATCTGTATGCGAACCTTTTTTATATACTGGTGTAATCTTCGCAACCTTCAGTTCTTCTGGAAATGTACCGTTGGCCAATATGTCATTTGTCAGAGTAACTATTTTTTCTCCTATGATGTCCATCAGCAGTATTACATCTTTTTTTGTGATTTTGTCTTCTCCAGGTGAGCGGTTTTCCTTGAGTTCCTGCACTATATTTTTTACTTCTATAATGTTTGTTTGGTCCATTTTGATTTCCTCAGCAACATTTTCTTCTTTGAACATATATACATTTCTGTCAGTAATTTTTTCCCTCAAGTTTATTCCAATTTCTGAGAAATAGTCATTGAACTCTTTGGCAATAATAGCTTCATTCTCTATAGTTACTCCTTCTCTACTTTTAATTTGTTCGACCTTGTTTGTTTTTTGTTTCCTTCTTCCACATAATTCATTTAAGACCTGCCATGCCTTTTTTGAATCATTTCCAGCTTCATTTAGCCGTTTTTCAATATATGATTTCTTTAGTTTTTTTCTTAGGTTATTCACTTCGTTTTTCTTTCCTTTGAAAGCTTCTTTTGTCTCATCGTTATCTATTCGTTTCCATCTTGTATAAAGTTTATCCCTTTCTTTTATTATCCTTATAAACTCTGGTGTTATCCAATAATTATTTTGTTTTATTTTCAAGCTATATTCTCTTGTGCATTCTTTCTTTGTATTATTCATCATTTCCGTCAGTCTTTGAAAACTATGTATGTCTTCTTGTTGTAATTTTGTCTCTATCATGTTAATCCATTTTTGGGAGTCAAGTTTTTGTCTAGTTATCCTTTCATTTGTATATTGTGTCACATATTTTTCAAGCTCTATGTACATAATCTTGTGATCTGATATTATGTGATCCTTTAATTTAATATTGCACCTTAGATTTTTATTTGTATATACATGATCTAATATTGAAGCTGAGGTTTTAGTACGTCTTGTTGCATTTTCAATATTTAAAGTGTTTTGGACTTCATAATCATTCATTTCCATGAGGTTTTTATATTCTTTCACTGTAGTTGTATTTTCGAGAAGGTTGAGATTCATATCCCCAATAATTACTGATTGGCTTTTTTGTTTCTCAATTATAGTGCTCAGCTCATTAAGAAATATTGTACCATTGCTCTTTGGTGCTCTGTATATACAGTTTATAATGGTGTTAGTCTTATTTATATGAATAGTCACAATATTACAGCAATTTTCAGTGAATTTAACATCTTTAGGGCTAAATTTTATTCCATTTTTTACAAATATACAGCATCCTCCCCCTCTCTTGTCTCTACAGTCATGGGTTGCATCATATTCTGGTATATTAAAATAGTTTGTTTCGTTGGGATATACCCATGTCTCAGTTATGGTTACAATGTGTATTTCCTTTGGACTACTATTGACTATTTCTATGAGATCATTGATTTTATTTCGTAAGCTTCTGATGTTAATATATAAAATATTGAGTTTCGTTAATAAATCCATTTTAACAGATTATTATTTATATGCAACTTTTGGCTTACTTATTTTACAAATTTTGTTGTTTGAGATCTTGCTCACATCTTATCAGAATGGATGGCTCATTCGGAGTTTTTTTAATATATATTTTCCCATTTCTGCAATAGGCTGCAGTGAGCTGATGATTTCGCTTGTGCTCTCTTGCTTTTTTAAACAGCATTTGATTTTGATATGTTAGGTCCTCATTGAAGTAAATATTTTTGTCCATTCCGTCCAAGCCACATTCTTTCACTTTCAATCCCTTCAGTTCTCTCACTCTCTTGAATATTTGCACTTTCAACTCTGTATTCTTCAGCTTCACCAATATTGGTGCATCATCGGTTTCCTTGATTCTATAGCCTGCCAGGATGTCCTCACTCTCAATTTTTATCTTCATAGTTGACACTACTTTCTGAATCACTTTTTTTATATCACTTTCTTTTTGTTTTGGTATTCTGGCGACAATGATGTTGTTTTGCTTTTCTTTCTGGTCTTTGTTGTTAGCCCTGGTCTCCAGTAGCCTTATTCGCTCCTTTAGATCATTATTTTCCTGTCTCAGAGCTTTTAGTTCTGTCATGAAATTGTCTGTGGCAGTTTTGTGTTCTTCGAACTTGTTCGACATATATTGGACAGATTCTTCCATTCCTTCCAGTTTTTTTTCGAAAGGATTTAGGAACTCCACGAGAAGGCCTCTAACAATCTTTTTTAATTTTTCTTCATCCATATTACAAAGATTTTCCTCGAGTTTTCCTTTTCTAACCTCACTTCTTTGTTGTGATTTGCAACAAATTACTTTTCCACCCCTATGCACCACTTTTGCCTGGGTTGCACAACTTGGGTGGTAGGATGTTTCACAAATTTCACAGTTTAACGGCGAACTAACTTTTTTTTTACAATGTTTGCAAAACTTTTCTTTTACTTCGAAATTTTCACCTGTTGACGATGCCATAACCTCACAAATTAAATAAGTATAATGCGAACATCCTTTTTTTTTGTGTATTAAATCATACCTACTTGTAAAATTGTATCAGATTGTATGTAATATATTATATTATATAATATTATATTACATCAAAGGCTAATTAAATGCTGTAATGAGAAATTTAAGGCTCTGCTAGTTTTCACGAAAATGGCTATTCTGCTAGCTTTAACCTAATAGACCCTGAGATAGGGCCTGTTTAGTGGCGTAATTTTTTTTTGTCTGGCATTTTGAGGGATGAATGTGGCTAGTTAGCTGATGAGAATATAAGTGGTTTTAATGCCTGCCCCCAGTTCGAATTGTCCACAGAATGTTTCGCCGGAAAACTCGATTTCGAACTGTGATTACCATCTGGCGATTTTTCAATGTTATTTTCACAACAAAACCATTTATTCTCTCGATTGCCAGACAAAAAGTAAACGCGGAAGGTTCTTTTCTTTTCTCTTGGAAGTTGACACCCATCCCCATTTTTTCAGCTATTGGAAAGCATCTGGTATTTTTCATGGGTGAATTATTTATCAATGTCAATCTTTTATTTAAAAGCCAGAAAATTTGAGATCATTAAAAAAAAAATCTTGATGTAAATCAATTTTTTTCTTCTGTAAATTTTCGAACGGGTGGCAGGCATTAAAATCACCCCTAATCTCATCAGCTTAGTAGCCACATTCAGCCCACAAAATGCCAGAAAAAAAAATTACTCCACTAAACAGCCCCTATCTCACAGTCTATAAGCCAGCAGAACCTGAGCAAAAAAGTGGCTAAAATGACTGGAAATACACTAATCCCGAATTTCAGACATTTCTAAACTTACCAATATTAACCTGGTTAGTTTGGGTACTTTGCAATTTTAATCAGACTTTTTCAAACTCACTAAATCAAAAAAGTAATTGAGCCTGAAAGGACCCTGCCCAAAGTATACGAAAATTGTGTTTATGTCAGAATTAGCTGAATTTTGTATATAATGTAGATCACCTTTCTGATTAAAAGTTACCATTGCACCAATCCTGAAAAATGACTCCTTTTTGAGAATATTACGCGCCACAAGCTTACCTGAGCTTACCGTTTCACGCTACATTAAATGTTCATTATAGAATGTTTATTTCCAAAATGTACAACATAGTATACAAAAAAAAAGCTTGCAAAAGCTATATGGAATGATGAATAATGTTCAAGCGTTCTACTTGCCACCTATGAAATTATTTTTTTCAAAAAGGATTCATTTTTCAGGATTGGTGCAATGGTAACTTTTAATCAGAAAGGCGTAATCTACATTATATACAAAATTTAGCCAATTCTGACATAAACACAATTTGCGTATACTTTGGGCAGGGTCCTTTGCGATTGATGCATTTCCGGAGCCTTTAATGAGCCTTCAATGTTTGTGCAAGTGGAATTGCGATTTTCGTTGTTTTGACCACTTTTTCGCTCATGTTCTACTGGCTAAGGTTAAAGCCAGAATAGCCATGAAATTGGCAGAGCCTAAAATTTCGCCTTTAATGTATTCACTACGACTGCACTATCGGAACACTGATTTTCATCGTCTGAGAGGTTTTTCTGCCATGTTTCGCTGACATCACTCACACATCGCGCTTTTTGCATTTCCACAAACAAAAAGTAATTGAGCCTGAAATTTGGGATTGGTGCATTTTGGGAACCTTTAATGAGCTTTAATGTCTGTGCAAGTGGAATTGCAATTTTCGTTGTTTTAGCCACTTTTTTGCTCATGTTCTGGTGGCTTAAGTTAAAGCTAGCAGAACAGTCATTTTCACGAAAATTCAAGGAGCCTAAAATTTCTCATTAGGGCATTTAATTAGCCTTTAATGAGCATTTAATGTTCCATGTATTGATTTTCGATTCTGCTGACTTTGCTATTCTAGCTTAAGAGATGTAAGAGTGAGAATGGGTTTATCGGATTAGCTTTTCCTTTAAAGCCTTATTCAACCGTCCATAAAAGTGTTTTTACTGTTTAATTTTTAGCTGATCTTACAGAAAAAAATAGGTGTTTTTCTTGGTTTATAGTCTATGGTCAATAAACTACAATAATAGGTAAATAAAGCTTACTACGATTTGTCTGATTTAGCTATACATTAAAAAAAACAAATAATATTTCCATAAGTTCCCGAAAGTTTCCAATATTCCCGGAAAGTTTCCGAGAATGTTCGCGGCTTTTGAATGTTTCAGGAATTTTACATCACTATACCTATATAAGTGTATTAAAATGGAACTTACTTCTCCAGTAATATTGATGTCCAAAATTTTAGCTTTATAAAAAAGGCCATTTCCTTTCCATCGAGCCAGAACATATTCTCCAACTGCCCAAATGGATAATGCCTTTTCCATCTTCTTAAAATTAGCTACCGCTTGCAAGGATTCTTCAAGTGGAATTTCAAAATCCTTATCGTCATTTTTAACGCTTGAGGAGGTACTAGCATGGATGGAGGCATGAGCAGTACTTGGAGGTGGTGTTCTTATCCTTGGTGGCGGCGGTGTTCTTGGTCTTGGGGGTGATGCCCTAACTTTTCGTGGTATTGTTCTCGTTCTTGGTACAAATGGAAGAGTTCGCTGACCAGGCCTTTCTGCTCGCGTTTCTGGATTGAAAATACTCACAATTCTGCCTTTAAGATTATTGGCTGACAAACGGGGTCCGTATTCAGGCAATGTTGCAGCATTTGTAAGCTTTGAGTAAGATATTTTATTTATCAGGCCAGATCTGTTGCTGGGTTCTGGTAGATCTGCAGCGGTACTGTCTGGTATTGTGAAATGAGGTCTTAGCCTTAGTGTTGGAAATTTTGGTCTATCCTGTTCAGCATAATCATCTGGCAATCTTCTCACCATTTTGTTGATAATGTTGTTTTGTTGGTCAACTAAAATATTTTGACGATTTTCCAAAAAGAGCATTCCTTCAGTCTGCTGCAGTTTAGATGTTGGGCATTGAACAACTAGCTCCACTTCAGATTGCGAACCCTTATGTGCTAATTTGTCCAACTTGTCAAAGAGAACCTTATATTTCATCAAAATGGCGGTCGTCTAGTTTCTAGCCAAAATACACACCTTATCAGAATAATTATTACAAACCAAAGGGAATAGAAACTTACCAAAAACTAAAAAACTGGCGCCCGGCATACGGTCCTATAACACAAAAAAAAAAGGCTAGCGCGCAGCACAATCAACAACAGCCAGATGAAATTTTTAACTTTTACGTTTGTGACCTGTGGGAAATAAAAAACAAGCAAAATCGGCAAGCAAGAGGCAAAATTGGATTGGATTGGACTTGGAGACGGGTTTACGCCGTTGACGGGCGACAACCGCAAAAAATTGGTTGGCAAATGACGTTTCCTTGCTTATCGGTCATTTCGACCGAATTTGACCAAGCAAGGATACTCACTACTACAAAGGGGTCGTATTTTCGAATGTTCTCTTATACGAAATTTCATACGATTTCGAATGCTTTCCATTTAATTTACATTGCTGTCAGTCAAATTTCGTGTACGAAATGTACTCGAATGGTTTCGAAAATCGCACCCCAGATTGCTCATCGGCCTCGTTTTTGGGAATCGCGGCCATATTGTGTAGCACCATTAACGACGTCATCAACTACGTATTCAGCTGTCAAGGTTCCGTCAACTGTTTGCGCCAGCGGTCGTAGTTTAGAATAACATTTACATTGAACTAAACAAACACTCTGGAACAGGCGCACTGCGCACTGGTTTATGCTGTGGCGACAAATAGAGGTCCCGCCGCCATTTTGTGCCCAACCTCTTGCTACTTTCAAATATGAATATATAGGATTTAAATGAACATCTATCATAAAAAATTGAAAACAACGTTTTTGATGTGCCTAATTATAGTCATCGGATACGTTGTTTTCAATTTTTAATGATGAATGTCCAATTTAAATCCTATATATTCATATTTAAAAGTAGCAAGAGGTGGGGCAAAAAATGGCGGCGTTCTCCATATGAATATATAGCCCTTGCGTTCGGTATTTTGCTCAAGGAGCAGAGCGTGCTGAGCGGAGCCGTAACCACGTGACCAGCGAGCAAAGAGCAGTTGAACGCTATGTATTCTAGTCAGATTCAAGTGCCCGAAATTTTAATAAAGAACGCAAATGAGCCTGCACCGAATACACTTTATAAATAAACGAACGGTAAGTTCAAGCTCGGAGAACTCAGATAAAAATACCGAACGCACGCAGGATTTCAAAGAACCAAACCAATACACCTTTTCACGTCGCACGTCGCTCCGGTTTAAACTAACCGGGTTACAAAACGGTTAGGGGCGGTATATCAAGGGATGACATCACTGAAAATGCCACTTGAAAACGAACGGAAAATGTTATTTTAAACTCGATTAATTTCGATTTGAGGGTAGGTATAGGTGTTTGACTTGTTTTGCGTTTTTAATTTTTCAATATTTTCGCCAGTGCCGTTAAATCTGACCTACCTGTGCTGCACCGTGCTTGAAGCACACAGCTGGAAAGCGGCTAAAGTGGTATGTTGCGGTTTGTTAAACCGGAGCGACGTGAAAACGTGTAATCAAAAAGAAGACGGCAATTTGTCGCCACTGTGGTATAGAGTCACTGTAGTTTATGGTAGTGAGGCAAATTGCGATTAGCGTGCAGAGAGAGACGCAAATCCCTCTTGTTTGCTGTCCTTCCTGGCACAAACCCTTGCGTAGAAACCAATGCAGCCAGCATTCCAGTTCCAGTATGTTTGTTTACTTCATTGAAAAAGTATTATTAAATTTTGATTGACATAATAGTCAAAGAGCCAGATGCAAACGAGATCTAAAAAAGCGCCGTTTTGTTAGTACCAAAACCAAGTATGCATAGACTAGAGCAAAACCCCGCGAAATCATAACCTGTGGTGCAGACACCCTAGGTCAAGGCGAGAAACGACACGCTATTACGTCATCACTGGTTCTTTGGCATGAAGGGGGCTTGAGCAGCACTTTTTGCCCAGAGTACAATCAGCTCCGCGACTACTCCTGAGCCGCTTTCTAGCTGGCCGCTTTATGCACGCAACGGAGCATTTTCCTGCAGAAACGCGTGAAAATTGTGTTCCATCAGCCAATAGACTTCGAACGCAACCTACCTCCCCTTGCCCCCTGATGCACATAGGAAATTTTTCTCGAGGATAACCAAGCATAATCTTTTGCTGGATTTGTGATGTGTCATTTGTGTCATACTATACTCCCCCAACTTCTCCACCATCAAATTCTGGGATACTCGAGGATCAAGAACACATTGGTGCGAATTACATTGGTAAAATAAGTGCAACAAAAATGTATTTATATTTCTTTCTTATACAAGCTGGTATGAAAAGACACGAATACACTCAGCGCGCACTAACCCTTTCAATGGAAATCGCTTTTATTTCTTCTGTGAGAACAGGCCGAAAATCACCTTTTCTACATTTAAAATCGACGAAAAATTTAACTCACTAGCACAGCCTGAGTCGCAACCATTCCATCGAGGTCTGCGGGTGACGACATCACCTCAAGCTGCTGATAGTGACGTCACTCGCAGGCCCAGAATTTGATGGAGAGAGAGTTAGGGGAGTATGACACAATTGACACATCACAATACCCAGCATAATCAGAGTATGCAGGCGTCTTCTTGCGTCTCAAATGTTTCAAAACATTTTTCAAAACTGGTTTAAGTAATGTCACCAGGACGTCATAATTTCTCGTCGCGAGAAAATGGTTTGAAAACGTGGATTGGATTGTATTTCGAAACGGTTTGAACCAATTTTGACGTGACGTCATGGGTTTATCGCGAGAATGTACTGTTCCAAAACAGCTTTGAACCAGTTTCAAAAAAGTGGACGCGAGAAAACGCCTCAGACCTACATACATTTGCCCGCCAATAAAACTTGTATATAAAAACTGTATAAAAGCTTTTTAGAACGTGTTTTCAAACATTTGTTTATGTTTAAAGTATTTTGTCTCCCGTCAGGATGAGAAACTTTGTTTTTATACTCGCTTTTAAAGCAAGTATCTGGACGCGTTCAAAACAAATATTTGTTGTTTTAAGCAATGGTATCAGTGGTGGTGCTATTTGGTGACATGTTTTTGCCGTTAGTCTAGACGCAATTCCTACCTCGTTTGAAAACTAAATTGTACTTTGAAACAAAACACCTACTCACGTGTATTAATGTTTTGTTTACGGGCAAATGTTTCCAAACATTTGTTTGTGAGCAGTGTATGTAAGTCTGGACTAGCTAGGCTTTAAGTGGCTTCGAGAATCGAGCTTCGAGGGCTTCGAGCCCAAAGCCGCTTTCTCGCGTCCACTTTTTTGACATTGGTTCAAAACCGGTTTGAAACCGCAGCGGTAAGCTTAAACAACTTGACATAAAAGACGGTTATTTTAATTAATTTGTTGTGGATGGAGGATTACCCCAAGGAGAATACCCACTCTAAGGAGTGCATATCGGCTTCGTTTTTGGTAATCGCCGCCATATTGGTGTGCCACCATTGCCGACGTCATAACTTAGTCGTCAGCTGTTTAAACAGCCTACGTCAACGCGAGAAATAACATGCTGCCTACGTCACAGCACAAGAGCTTGCCGGGAACCACAAAACAATTCTAAAATGTTAAGGCAAGCAGTGCTGCGTTGCCAAATTGACGTGAAAGTATTTTATTTTCTTTGGGTTAGACCTAATCAGTTTTATTACAGGTTTTTGTTATTTGTATATTAAAATACATATTTATAATTTTTTCTAACGAATTGCATTTATAGTTGTTTACAAATTTCAATTTTGATTAATTACTCAATAATATTTGCAAACTTTGCTTTTGTTATACATATTATTATACACTATACCTCAGAAACTATAGCTAGGTAATTGCTATTTTCCTAATGAGTGCGAGCAATGTCTATTGTTTAACATGTGACGAAAAGAGCAGTTTTTGAAATATGTAATGTTTTCACGTTGCAGAAAATGATTTTGGACGAAAGTTGTTTACTTTTCAATGGCCGCAAAAAAATATTTTTGCAGATGCTACTTTGTTTGTGCAATGAAAGATTTGGATTTTGTTGGAATTTTTGACATTTTTATACCTACAACATCATTATTATCAAAACCCAAAAATCGTAAACACAGGATTGCTCATCCCAATAAGGCATACGCTCTTGAGTCGGCAAGGTCTGCGAGTGACGTCACCACATCAGTAGCCAATAGTAGTGACGTCGACCGCAGACCTCGATGAAATGCTTGCGATTCAGGCTGTGCTTGTTATTTAGTTTTTTCATCGATTTTAAATGTAGAAAAGGAGATTTTAACGTTTAGGAATTCGTTTTTTTGACCTATAGTTCAATGTATTTTACTCCAAGAGTTGAGGTCTGCGGCTGACATGGAGTTGGTAGACACTTTCAGCTCCATAAGCAGTCCTATCAGGTAAGTATTCCTGATTAAAAACGATAATCTCAAATAAATTTTTGGCATGCAAATAGAGCAATTTTTCCGCACGCCCTTAGGGGAAATTGTGTTCCTAACGCTTACGAGAAATAAACTGCTGGACAATTGCTTTCGAACAAGGGAAATATATCGCCTAACTTTCAAGCTCGATATTTTTGGAACCAGACTAGATATCGACCTTCGGTTTTCACGGGCTAACAGATTGACTTTTTGTGAAAAAAATTGCTATTTTGAAATTTTTTTAAATGTCTACTTTTTTTTTATACAGGGTGTTAAAAGAGTCCATGATTTTCATCTCAATTTTGAATGTGTGTAACTTTCTCAGATAATTTTTTAAATTTTATTTCTATGCGGCGTTTTAATCAATGATCTTCTGCAAAAAAAAGTAATTTCTGAAATTTTTTATACCTGCCTTAGTTTTAAAAATATCGACTTTTTTTCATAACCTCCACTTTTTTCAACTTTTAAGCACCTAAACCATCCTGTACAATAAATCTTGCATCTTATGCTGCTGTTTGATAAACCCCACGATATTCTGGTTTATTTTCAATGAAAAAAAAAATACTAAAATAATGTGGTGTCCAGTAGCCTACTAAGGGCGGGTATTATAAAACTACTTTGAGAGTTAACTTAAAGTTAACTTCTGGAATTACACGTAATTCAAAAAGTTAACTTCAAGTTAACTGTCAAAGCAGTTTTATAATACCCGCCCTAATAATCGCCCATTTTCGAAATAATTTATTAATGGCTCACCAATTTTCACATTCAAATGTGCATAATTTTAAAAATAATCATTTGAAGTTTCATTTGTTCAGTTCACTTTAATCATTGACATATTATTAAGACACCAATTTCTCAAAATTTTGATATTTGCCCTTGTTTTTAAAATATCGTTTATTTGACATAACCATATTAATTTTTTCAACTTTTCTGTTCTAA